GGAGGGGGGGGGGGGGGGGGGAGGGGGGGGGGGGGGGGGGGGGGGGGGGGGGGGGGAGAGGACGGGGGAGGTTAAAAAAAGGTGTCTCTCAGGTGTGTGTGTGTGTGTGTGTTTCAGACGTATGAAAACCCAGGACTGAAGTGACACTGATCGACTCTAAGACCAGGCAGTGACACAAGGACAAGAACACGACGTTTGTGTCCAGGAAACATCGTCTCACGGGGGGAAACGTTGAGACGGAGACGGGGACAGTTCACTGTGTAAGACACTGTGACGGTTAACAATTCAGAGTCCAGAGTTCAGCAGAATCCATCTTGGGGAACTCAGGATAAATACTCCTGAACGATAAAAGTTCTTATTTAGATTTAAAACCCACGGTACAAAAACACGAGTCAGTTTTAAAAAGTCTAAACTATGTCACAGAAAATGCTAATATTAAAACAAAACAAAACAAAAGATAAAAGATTAAAACTTGTGTTAAAGCAGTTTTTCTTAATTATTTTCTGGTATGCTCCCCCTAGGGGACAGAAGTGTTTAAACTCTGGCCATGTGCCTGAACATAGGAAAAAAATATGGCTAATAATTTCCCCTGAATTTTCCTGGCTAAAAGAGCTAAGAATCCAACACGTTTTTAAATATGTTAGTGAAAAATGCTAATGCAAATACACTTAGTAAAAGTATTTTTTTTCCCCAAAAGAATACAAAAAAAATAAATAAATAACAGAAAGAACAAGCAACATTTGAAGCTGCAAAGCTAGCTAAGAGTTAGCGCTTAAATAGTTTAAAGCTGTTCAACGACTAGTGAAACATTAACCCATGAATTAGTAAAAGTGGTTAGCATGTAAATATCTGGAAGCTAGTCGCAGCTGAACTGTAGCAAAAGTAGCTCAAAATCAACAACCAAAAAAAAAAAAACATATGCTAATTATTTAGCCAAGACGTGAAAAAACAGTGAGCATTTTATTGTAAAGCAAGATGCTCTAACCACCTAATGATCACTTTTACGATGACCACTGGGGGCAGCAGACCCTCACTCCAGCTCCATCTGTATCTGTATGTGATGTAGTCGGGTGTAGTACCCTCCACTCTGGTACAGTTTTTTTAGTGGGTCCAACATGGACACCTAGGGATGGAGTGAAGATGGATGATCTGCTGCGTGGAAACACATTATTTCTGCATCTTCTCTAAGAATCTATAAAACCACATTTCCCCAGCGGGGGGAGCTGTAAGAGCCCAAGCCAGAGCCATATTCGAGCTGCCTTTATCTGTGCTGCCGGTCCCACGGCTGCAGCTTCATGGGCCCGACACGCGGCGCAGCAGAGAACTGATCCTCCAGCCGGCGTTTGGACTGGTCCGCAGATAAGAGTGAGACGAGCAGTTAGCGCTCGTCTCATTATTATTGGCTGAGATCTAATCAGGCTAATGTGCTGGAGCTAAAGGCTGACTGTTGTTTACACTTGATTCACACCACTTTAACGTGTCCCGGAGGAATGTCACTACTGCGGCTGTTACTGCCACACGGAGGAAATTTGAGGAATTAAAAAAAAAAAAAAATTCCAGAAATAAAGAAAAAAAAAACTCTGGTCTCTGCTTTTACTTCTATGACCAGTGCAGTACTTCACAAATCCACTAGTACTACAATAGTCTCCATCATCATGACCACAGCTGAACCACTGCAGTATATGAAGAAAAGTACTTATTCGTACTCAATGGTCCCCGACCCTTTTTTGCACCACGGAAAATTTTTTTCACCGACCGGCCTTTATGGTGTTCGGATAAAAAAACGACTAAAAAAAACTAAAAACTGGTACATTCTAAAAATAATAATAAACGTTAATCCACTGTGTAGTCAACATTATTAGCGTCATCGTAACATCATAGATGCAGGACCCTTGGTCTCCACATGGTGGAGCAGTTTTGAAGGCTTCATAGACAAATGCAGCGGAGAGAATCTGGTCATTTTTAAAAAAATAAACATCGTTCAGAATCAGATATTAAATAAAACGTAAATAATGTAAGTTGTGCCTTCTCTCTGTGCGACCCGATACCAACTGACTCACGGACCAGTGCCGGTCCACGACCCGCATGTTGGGGGCCCACTAATCTACTCCATCACCTTGGTGTGGAACCTTCTCTGATCACAGACAGAGACACTGACGGTGGACAGTTGTCTCACCCAGGACTGAGCTCCGTCCAGGTGACTCGTCCTGATTTTTGATTCATGCAGATGTGAAGAGGACAACGGTGTGCGACGATCCGACGGTCGCCGTGATGTCGACCCGACTTAATTCACTGTATTAATGCGCGGACACTCGTTCCCACTGTCTGCTGTGGACGTGAGCTGGAGGACAATTCTAAACCACCAGGATGTGTGTGTGTGGTGTAGGACGAGGCCGAGAGGAAGTGGTCCTACGTCCAGTGACGGTCACCTGGTCCTACGTCTCCAGGCAGTGTCATGTGCGCCTACGTCCAGGTACGGTCATCTGGTCCTACGTCCAGGGACGGTCACCTGGTCCTACGGTCAGGACCAGGTTTAGTCTGGGTTTTGTTTTAGTCGTCGACGCCATCTTTTATACCGAGAAAATTATCTTTAAAAAATTATAGGTAACAATATATTTATCATATATTTATCATAGATCATATATGATCCACATGTTAGAATATTTATATTTATATATAAATGACATAAAATATAACTTATATTGAGTTAAAGTTAAGTTTGAGTTCAGTTCAGTCAGATGAAGTTTAGGTTCAAGTTAAGTTTAACTAGTTTAGTTTAGTTTTTAGTTCAACTTTGAGTAGTTAGAGTTAAGTCGGTTCAAGTTGAGTTGCTCTACATTTGAGTCAGGATTAAGTTAATGTTTGAGTTGAGTTAGTTTGAGAGACACGAGTTAGTCTAGGTTTGAGTCAAGGTTTGGTTTGTTAAAGTCTCAGTTCAGATGTTTTAGGTTTGACTGAAGTTAGAGTTAAAGTTAAATCAAGTTGTTTACGTGACGTGACGTTCGGTCTCTAGAAACTCAAGTTATGATGTCATCATGATGTCATCATGTTGACATCATGATGACATCATGATGTCAACATGTGACCTGACGGCAGGAAACTACATCGATGAGGTCAAAGGTTTTAAGTCTGATCTGAAACGACTGAGACTTGGAGGGAAAAACTGTACGAGTGTGTGTGTGTGTGTTCTGCCTTTGATCAATCACTTGTTGCGTGGTGGAATTTCACGTGGCCGGCCAGTCACATGATCAAAGAGCGCCCCAGAAGTGTGTGTGTGTGTGACCTTGTAAAACAACAACACACACACACACACACACACACACAGGTGAACTGGTGTATTAAGAAAAAAAACATGTTTCCACCAAACGTCACCAGAACATTTCAGAACCAGAACCAGGTTCAAATCCCTGCTAACACTCACACCTGGAGAGAAGGGGGGGGTGAGGGGGGGGGAGGAAGAAGGGGAGGAGAAACAACGTTCCTGCTGCTCAGACCCTCTGGTCCACGTGGGCTGTATGTACAGGAAGTGGGACCAGTAATGGATGTGTGTGTGTGTGTGTGTGTGTGTTTCCTTGTTGTTGTGCTGTGTCAGGATGTAAACAGCGTGTGTGAGACAGCAGCAGGGGGAGAAAAGGGGGAGACGGGGAAAAGTGGGAGGAGAGCAGGAGACAGGGAGCGGATGGTGTGGTTTGGAATCTGGGATGATGCTGCTGAAAGTCTGGAAATGTTGAGCGCTCCTCCTCAGCATGGATATTTAATGACCTGAGACCCCGACCAGGCCTTCACACCCTCCACCCTCCACCCTCCCCCGGC